ACCCCAAAACCCCAAAACCCCAAAACCCCACTAAAGCTGCTGATTATTGTAATAAATTTCTACAGATATTATAAATGAAAAAATTGAGGCAGAGGAAAGACCAGTCGAAAGGAACCTTAGTCCATAACAGAGCCAGTAAGGTTAGTAGCAAAAGCAAATTGATTAAGTTAAAGTAAGTCCTTGCTTAAGAGAAAGGGCAAATAAGAGTATTGTCATTTCTAATTAGAAACTCGACCCTTCTTCTCTCTAAATTTATCCTGCTCAAGGTTTAATTTCTATATACAAGTTTCCTTGGATTCCCTTTTGTGGAATATTATATTTTCAAAAATAATTTTTCATCTCTTTATTGAGAGCTTCTGATTGGTTCTAAAGGAAGAAATTACTGCTGAAATATCAGTCAAGTTAATGTATTTAAAATTTGATGATATTTTTAAATTAAAATTTCTGAGAGAGCCTTAAGCTAATTTTAAAGAGTATTTATAATTCAAAATATTGCTGATATTACACCGCTGAGCTATTCAGTTCCATCTTGGATTGTCTAACCCAGTTCTAGGCTGAACCTTGACAAAACTAATAACACTATTTATACAAAGGAAAGCTCTGAGAGGGGAGGTAAGACCAAGAGTGCAAGGCACCCAAATTCTCCTGAAAGGAGCAAAAATTTGGCTAAAATCAAGAAATTCAGGTAATTACAAATAATTTGATTTTCAGCATTTTTAGTTTAAATTTTGGCAAAAAAACTTGCCTAAAATTAGTTAGGTTTGTGACTAAATTTAGACCAATTTTGGAGAAATAAACCTCAAAGAGACACCCTTGGAGAGAAGGACAGCAAGATTTCAAGAATAGTTGCTTCTTCCAAGAGCCAGATCGATACTAGCGAAGTGTCATCTGCAAAGCGACAAGGGTGTGGGAAGGGACAGAAGAATAGGCAACCAAAACAAGTTAATGGGTTTTACAAAAAGCCTTCTCTTTTATCCAACTTTTCCACTAGTATTGTCAAGCCAAATGAGGAAACTAAGCAGCACTTTAATTCATTCGTGCAGACACATGATGTCGCTTATGGATTTAAGGTTGAATGTGCTGATAATCATTCAGGAAGGGATAGAAGTTACTGCAAGAAATTAGAATCAGTACGGCCGTCTAGAAACCTTAAGAAATTAGATAAAGTACCACAAAAATAATGAGAGATCCTCTGTACCAAAATCTTCACAGTCAAGTAAGTCAATTGCACTATTTTTAGATTCATATTACGAACAAGCTCTTCATGAAAAGTATAATAGCCATGCAGGGCCTTCTAAGTGTAAGAAGCGAAGGAAAAAGAATGGATCGAGCAGCATTGACCTCTCATGTAAGTTTGCTCAACTAAAATTTAGCCTTTATGTCAGGGGAGAGATCTATAATCACCTTCCCAGGTCGCCAGACTATTGAGAGCAAGAAACCTATCATGTCTGTCAAAGAGTATAACAATACTATCGATAGGCTGACTAAAGAAAATGAGGATTTTAAGGACCAAATAGCTGATTTAAGGAAGGTGTTGACTCAACACAAGAACACTATCGAAGAGTCTGCTGTGGTACCAGTTTTTTATAACGTATAGAATAACAAAGACCTGCAAGATACCCTGATAGAGAGTAACAACTGACTACGGTCAATGATAACTACACAGTTTGTGTTCATTGATTTCTTCAAGCAGGTTGAAAAGATTCCCCAAATCGCGTCTTGAAATAACAGAGTGTAAGAAATTTATCTAACCATTTAGTAACTTCTGCGAAGTTTCAAATGAACTTGAGAAAATTCTTGGTAATTCCTACAAATCATACTATAGTTAACGAAGGTGAGAAAATTTCGAGTCTTGACCTTGAAGTTGAGAAATTCGAAACCATACTTGAGAAGACCACTCAGTTTTTGGAAACACAGGAAGGTGCCAAGCTTAAGGTGTTTGTCAAGAAATTTTCTGACGATCATGGTCAAAACCCACTGAAGGTGTACAACCAAGAGTATGACCTTAATCAAGAGCTTGGTTTTGAGAGCGAAAGAAAGAGTACAAAGCTAAATGAGCCGTAAGTCACACCCTCACTCTCTATAGTGATAGCTGAAGGTGTAATACCATGTCGAATAACTCAAAACTGGAGGAAGAAAATGACTGGTTTAGGAAACAGATCAAACAACTTAATAATTCTCTCAAATAAGGCTAAGCAGAACAAGCACTCCATGTATTTCCGGAACGATCGGAAAATGATGGAGTTGAACAGGGTTACAAAGGAACGCAACAAATTACAGGAGAAGGTCTGCATTGTCGAGAATGAGCTCCATGCCCAGAAGATGATCAATATTGACAAAACCGAGGAACTTCGCCTTCAAAAGGAAAGATACGACCAACTCGAGAATGACTTCGAGCAGCTGAGAATTAATTTTGATGAGCGGATTTCTAATTCGGTCAGGACAACGGAGAAACCTCTGAAGTCTAAGATCAAGAGCTTAGAGTATGAGATAAAGATCCTGAAGGAGAAACTGAATTTTAGTAAGTCTAGACTGGCTTATCCTACAGCAAAGCAACAATATGACGTTGCCAAGAAGAACGATCAGGTAATGCAAGTCATGGATGATCTTTCAAGGATGATTCTTAGCAAGAACAATGACCCAAATTTTTTGACTAGAGAGAAGAAGGCACTTATAAAGTCCTTGTTCGGAGATTATGCGACGAATTTCTATAAACAAGAGATTACTATTCTGAAGTCCGAGATACTATCATTGAGGAAGACTCGAGATGAAGATATCAAGAATTCTTTGCGGTATCTTGAAGCTCTCATGAACTTCGATGAATACAAGGATAATAAGAACCTCCTGATGCAGAAGGATGAGCTCCTGTCACAGATCCAGAGCAACAGGAATAGCTCAGGGAACCAACTTAATAAGAAATCTTACGGTGTTCCTGAGTTTTCCATTTTTAGTAGCGAAGACGATGAGGGATCTCATGCTCAAAATTCTCCAAGAACTTTATTTAAGCCTGAGTTAGAGTTCAGTGAGTTTAACCTCATTCATGATGAGAAGTTATTGGATGTGGATTTCGAGTCAAAATAAGCTCCATAATAGTGACATGGTGTAAACAACTCTCTCAATTCCTCTCTATTTTTATTTTTGGAGAGCTAGATTCCCTTCCAGATAGAGGAGGTTAACTATCTGGCATCCTCATTGGAAAGGATAAAAATCTAGAATAAAAGTTTTAACAATTATTTTAAGCTTGAGGGGTTTTGGGGTTTTGGGGTTTTGGGGTTTTGGGGTTTTGGGG